GTGTGAGTGCGTGTGTGTGTGTGTGTGTGTGTGTATGTGGGTGTGTATTACTAAAGGAAACACTTAATTATTGACCTTCTGACCCCGCCCCCCCAGAGGGTATCGTTCCCCTGTATGCACAGTATGTGGGGCCGGTTGTATATATATATATGTACATGTGTGTGTGTGTGTGTGTATGTGTGCGTGTGTGTGTGTGTATGTTATTGTGTATTACAACAGACACCTTCATTGACCTTGTGACCCCCCCTTTCCACCCAGGGGGTATCGTTCCCCTGTATGCACAGCATGTGGGGCCGCTGGGCTCCCGCCATGGAGAGAACCAGGCTGGCTTCTTTCACTTATGCAGGTAAACTCACGTTGTTGTTGCTGCTGTTGCGGTTGTCACTGTTTTTGTTGAAGCAGCTGTTTGATTTTTTTTAGCTGTAAATGGCGAAGGAGTAATTTAATATTATAATATGTGAATGTGTTAACTCGTACATATTTATGTTATAACTGTAGCTATAACTATAATATGTCAATTCACCTCACCTCATATCGCCTCACCTCACCTCACCTCACCTCACCTCACCTCATCTTTTCTCATCTCACCTCATCTCATCTCACCTCACCTCACCTCACCTCATCTCACCTCATTTTACCTCACCTCACTTCACCTTACCTCACCTCACCTCACCTCAGATCCCCTCACCTCACCTCATCTCATCTCACCTCACCTCACCTCACCTCACCTCATCTCATCTCTTCTCATCTCATCTCTTCTCATCTCATCTCTTCTCATCTCACCTCATCTCACCTCACCTCACCTCACCTCACCTCACCTCACCTCACCTCACCTCACCTCATCTCTTCTCATCTCATCTCACCTCACCTCATCTCACCTCACCTCACCTCACCTCCCCTCACCTCACCTCACCTCATCTCATCTCACCTCACCTCACCTCACCTCCCCTCACCTCACCTCATCTCATCTCATCTCCTCTCATCCAGGTACAACCGTCGGTAACGTCATCACGTACATCGTCTCAGGGCTCCTGTGTGTCTACGGCTTCGACAACGGATGGGCCTCCATATTTTACCTCACAGGTTCTTCTTGTTTCTTAACCCCTTGTTTCTTGTTGTAGTAACTTGAGCAACGGATAAGACCAGCAGTTAATTATTATTATAACTGCTCATTGGTGTCATTAGTGTTTGTATCGACAGATTTTCGTTTAAAAAAAATTTATTACTAGATCTACTATGATATCCTTCCCGTTTAGTTTTGGAAAAAAAGTAGAAATAACGTACTGAAATCTTAAGACCTGAATAGTTGAACCGTAGGATTTCTTCTTGCTTTACCTGTGTTTTGTTTGGGGTTTGTTCTACGGGGAGTGGGGTGGGGGTTTTTTGCTTCTTTTGTTGTTATTGTTGTTGTTGTTGTTGTTGTTGTTGTTTGTTTGTTTGTTTGTTTGTGTTGGTTTGGTTTTGTTTGGGGTTTGTTCTTGTTTGGTTGGGTTTTTTTGGGGGTGACGGCTTTAGCTGTGCCTGGCATGGCAAACTCGGGTCAAGAGGGACTGGTTGCAAATGGAGACTGCGGTAGTGGGGTATAACGTATTGCCTTGTGCACAAAAAGGCGTCAGTTCGATTCTTTCAAGTGAAACATATTTTTTCTGCCCTGTAATATATATATTACCGAGGGTTCAATTTAAGAAACTCGTATACCACAGTTTCTAATATAGACTTTTCACTTTTCTATGGCCGCAGAATTTCTCCGTCACTTATCATCTTTTCGATGTGGGGATCGGACTGTAAATAAGATCTTGGGAACTGACGATGTACTTGTATAGACATTGTATAATTATTATATGTATGTATGTATGTATGTATGTATGTATGTATGTATGTATGTATGTATGTAT